ATCGAAATAGAATATTCTATAGAGAAAATTTGATTTACCATACTTTCTCACAACTTCTTAACTTTAATATATATTTTAGTAGCTAAACTTTAAATTAAAATTCTGTTAAAGTCAAGTTTACTTTAAGCTTCAATCTACTTTAATCTTTAATCACCAATAACGAAAACTATTGGTATTTTAATATTAAAAAAATATTATCTTAGAATTTGACTTGTAATACTCGCGATCGAGATAACACTTGCACTTACTTTGGGGGGGGGGGACGCTATATGTATTTATATACTTATATATATGAATGGAACAGTAGTGGATGAGACGCAATGCAGAGTTTCTCTTGCTTTTGCGGAAACTTCCAAGTTCCGATCTTGCCAGCAGCTTGCGGCATTAGTCCGAATTCAGAAAAGTCAACTTGCGGCTGGAATTGAGTGCTAAGTGATTTCTACTGTTTCCGATGTGGCAATAATATCATTGCTTCTTAGTGTGGCATCCTGATCTTATGTCTTTGATGTTTGTGTGACTATTGTATAATAGTATAGGCAGCCGGAGAGTCGTGGGAAGACGTCCTTTCACGCTTCTCCGTGTCACAGCTTACGGATCACCTGTCAGAGTTCTCACAGTATACTATAATGCTTGAGGGAATACGGTCTGTCATGCGAGAAAAAGATCACGTTAGATATATTGACAAATAATGACAATTTAAAGAGGCTTAATGCATCTATCCTCTATAGACGTGATTGTATATCTTGGGGGAAAAATAAAAGCATTGAATGATATTTATATTTAGTAAGAGTGTAAATTCTTATATATACATATACTGTTGGCACACTGTAAAAAATACTTGAGTGGACACAATTAAATCTGAGGGTTGCGCGATTTGAGTTAAGTGAAGTATAATCAAGTCAAGAAGAATGAAAACCTAATTAGTTGAATAATTTCACTAATTAGATGAATAACTTCATGTAGTAAAATGTATTAAAAAATTTAGTCAAAGTATATGATTAACCGATTTGAAATATGGTTAAGTGTATTAATGTTAGATATTCATTCAACTACTACAAGGGTGATTTAACTACGTAATAATAATAAATCTGCATCTACATGGAGATCAAATCAATCATAGAGAAAAGTACATTGAACTAATTATTTACGTAATGCAATGATGGGGCGGTACAGTCATAAGCATATTTACAAAATTGATTAAATATCATTATTGATAGTAAATGAACATGAATATAATATAAAAGTAACAGGACTTAAATGTAGTACGAACTCAATAAATTATTGACGATACTTCACTTTGATTTAGAGCGAGAGAGCGTTTTGTAGAGCTATCAATAGATGGCACGTGTACTCGTAAGAGAGATTCGACATCCACCTGTATAAAGCGAGGATGGTTAAATGGTCAAACTATTAACCATTTTCATGCACTTCTTGCCACATCATGGCGATAAACATTTTTTCAGAGTGGCTACTGATCACAATGGATCTATATGATAAAAAATTTTAATGATTGATTAAATTATTTTTCAAAGTAACGGGATCAAATAAATTTAATGAATTGTCCTATTAAATAAATTATTAAATCTACTTCACTCGAAGGCAAAGCAGAGATCACCTCAAAATTGTTACTATCAACAATTTATTGAGTTCTCGTTACTTTGTAGAACAGTTCAGTCAAATATTAAAATCAGTCTGTTCTATTGCAGATTTATTTTATCGTGCTCATAAAGTATTTTTATTGACAATACAATTATATGTTCGTTTACTATCAATAATAGTTTAGTTAATTTTATAAATATTTTATAGAAATAAATTCAATGTTTATTTAACACACACACACACAAGGAAGATATTAAAGGAAGTCAAAATTTTTCTTGACGCAAGCTGACAGTTAGTTCGCCATATTTAATTCTGAGATTGAGTTGGTTTACGTCAATTCGAGTTGAATTTTCCTGATTTTTTTACAGTGCATAATATTAGACAAAAGTAATAGTTTTTATTATAATCTCTTCCATTTTCGTCTTTTTATAAAATATCATTTTTATTTTTGTATAAAATATAAATCCTTTACGACGCTTCTTGACATTCATGTGCGCGTGAGAGCGATTTATTTTATAAATCTCATATATGTATATTATGACTGATCGATATTCATGCAGATTGTGCATGTCTACGTACAAACAATCGCTGCATGCTAATTATTCCTATGTCGTGACACGGATACACTTGCAAGTCTGTTAATTGTATGCACGTTTTTCCTCGTTTGCAAAAAAGCCTATTACTCTTTCTTCTGTAACTATCGCAAAGTACTCGTACGTTATAAATAGAGTGCAACCTGAGGATGTTCGAGTCAATGCCAGCGAACGTGACTGAACAATGATGTCTCCGAGTGTTTTAGAACGGCCTGACGCCCCACTTCAGCAGCCAAGAGTCGTAGTCGTTTTTAACATGGTACATGCTATTCTCAGCATGTATTGTACATACGTTTACATATATGTGATGTGAGGAGAATTAGTTCTGCTGTCATTTAAAATATTCTCTAGGTTTCTCGGACAGTTCCGTCATGAGGAAGTGGCTGTGCAAGCAATTTTATGTCTCTGACATTCTACTTTTCATTCTACTATGCGACATTATTAATATGGAAGCAGTGATTGATTCATTTTAATTTAGCTCGGTGATTTATTTCGATTTTTCTCTTTCATTGTTTGGAATCAATTTTTAATTATTACAACAAAAATAATTTAATATCTTTTTATAACGCGAGAATTTTTATTTAAAGCATTTTAATAATAGAGGAAATTAATTTTAATAATAGGAATATCATTTTAATAATAGGAAATATAGATAAATAATGAAATTCTGTTTATCTACACATAATACTTACTAAAACATTTGTATACATAAGTAGTACAAAAGCGAAATGAATAGCATCGATGTTAGGCACTAAAAAATTGCAAATGTCACAGCGTTACGAGGATAATAAGACAAATAAGTTCGAGTATCACTGATACTTTCTGCACGACAGGTCTTGGGTGTCTTTCCAGTTGTAAAAACTTTTGTATAACGATATGGTAACGAAAGCAGGTTGATGAAAAATAAAATAAGAACAAAAGATAGTATATAGAAAGAAGAAAAGTAGGATAATGAAAGATTAAAAAAATGATTGCTATAGTGAAGAGATGGATAGAATATCAGAAAGAGAGGAGAAAGAAACAGAAAGAACATATTGTTTTTGCTAATTTACTAAAGACCCTTTTCTAACTTGTGACTCGTAGAGCTATTAATTCGCTACGCGCGAAACGCGATATGTTCTTTCTTTGGCGCACAACTTCCTTCCCTTTGTGTCTCGCTTTTTCGAAAGACTGATTAATTGCGTCACTATCCTTATAAATTGCTTTGTTTGCATTAGTCTTGCCGTACCGAACAAATGCTCGCTAATGGATCGTTTCAGCCAGAATAATCATTGCAAAGCACTAGCGCACCGACAGAGACGAATCGTGAGGGTAGCATTGGTGATATTATCTTGGATAAATGATTGTATTCGCATTAACGTGATACTACATAATGATTCACATTTCTCTTCTCATTAGCACGATTTTGCGTTCTGCCATATTATTATCTATAAAAGATATTATATTACAACAAATTTATATTATTTTACTATATTTCACATTGAAATTTCACATTGAAGTTTCGTCATATTCGAATATATTATATACATACAATATGTTTCTCTCTTTTCGTAATAGGATACAAATCCTAATTCTTCTTATTGTTTTATATGAATTAAATTTTATTAAAATATATAAAGTAAACAAAATGAAATATAATATGTAATTTTCGAAAGACTTGAACGTTATTCTTTTTTTAAGAAGATTGCGAAATGACTCGCTTTTTTTATGAGTGCTGAAAGTCTCATAGTATTTGCACCACAGTCGAATTTCAACTTCTTGCCTATACAGTCGGCTCTACACCCTGAATCGCTTTATTTTCTACAACAATGGGCGCACAATAAACCGGTATATTACACAGCTCGGTACACATACCTCTGTGAAATAAAAAAAGAGAATCACTCCCTGCGCATTACGGCGAGTTACGGGATACAATGGGGTCCCCAAAGCATAAAACTGGTCGAGAATGTTCTGGCTTTTGTACCGGCGGTATAACTCAAGTGTCATGCCATTATTTAACCATAGATACGACGGGTCTTTGCATTCTCCTGTGTGTCTGCTCGCCGAGAAGACCCGTTGTGCCCGACTAACGTAAAAGTTAATTGAAAAACAGGAAATTAAATTTTCGCAATTCCCAGTTGTGCGAGTCACGGCTTCTCGGATAATAGGAGCTATGTCGGCCTTTCCAACGACTCCTCTATAAATTATCGGCTTGCTTAATCATTCGCCGTCTGATCTGCCGGATACATTTGGAGTAAATTTATGTCTTGTCGTTTCTATATCGTGTCGATGCGGATCACGTACAAACTGTTCGAAAAATGGTTGCGATGCCATGTATCGTTAAGAATTTATTTAATTGCTTATTTTTAACTGTATGACTGACTCGTTGTCGAAGATGACGTTTACCACATGAATTATTATGTGCTTCTCCATAGAGTTTTTTCTCCCCGAAAAGTCAAACTTTAATTTAATTCTTTGAGTTTGGCATTCGACACGGCTGGTAGCACGAAAGCGAAGACGTTAGATCGATGCGAGGGCCGACAACTTCATTTTGAAAATAAGAAAACTTTTCTCTTGCAAGCCCTCGTCCCTCATCTTGCAAGCAATGTCAGATGGTGAATTTCATTATCGACAAGACCCGATATCTCTACATTAAAATCGTTCGAGACGAGACACACCTGACAAAGCTTGCAGTGTTGATACGATTCGACGCTGTCAAATATTGTTGAAATTTTCCGTTACTTCATCTTTCTATATGTATTGTGTTATTTTTCCTAACTTTTTTGTTTGTCATATACGACGTCTACATGACATTCTTTTTTTTTACAGGTTGTTCTTGTGTTGTATACAGCAGCTCGGACAGACCTCAGGGTGGCACTTTTACATCTCCTGATTTTCCAAAACGATATCCACCGAATATCGATTGTCTTCTGTACACATTCATTGGTCATCCAGATGAAATTGTTGTTTTGACGTTTCATCAATTCAACATCCGTCGTATCTGGCCCGAGTAAGTAATCTATATTTGAGGAGTGAATGTTCAAAACCTGCTACTTCTTTTGCATATAAATTAATAATAAAAATTATTATGATAGAATACAGTATAATATTAATTTCTATTTATTAGATATATATTGAATAGAAAGAACTATTACATTAGTATATTTTAAAATTTGTATAGTCTTCTATCAAGTAACGTGAAATAAATATCAGTTTTTTAATGTTTGCTCCTGTTCTTTAATTACATTATCTAAACAATATAATTGCAACGATAGGTGTAAATTTTGTATACTCATAATTTTCATCGTTTTCATTTTTGCGTATAATATCATGCATCCATTTCGTAAATTATAATTAGACAGGCTGTTTCGCTATACTCAGCACTGGCAGACAGCATTATGTTAACAGATAAATTATCCATGCACAGCGATTTGTCATGCACCTAATTCAGGCCTTCCGTTGTCCGGTAGAGTCTATTCGCGGTTGTCTACCGCCAATGGAATGCAGCCATGTTCCGTATGTTAAATTATAGCGATATAGAGAATATAAACATATACCTACATACATTAAGGAAATGTACAGAAGGTGTGCCAGAATTTCTAGCATTGCATATTATAACTAATGAATTGAATGATGTTGATTTTTACTTGCTAATGATCTGAGTTAAGAACGTGTCCAGCAAAGTAATTTATAATGACGATGCGTTTTATCAATTTTTAATCAAGATTATTGCAAATGTTCATTTATTCCTATAATTTAGCCAATAATGCAATCCGTTTCCGATTTTTATTTCTATAAATTACGTAGATTATATTTTCTTTGGAAAATTGTACTCGAGGGAATTTCGAGTGAAATATCTTTGCGCATGATCGTTTACTAAAATTCAGTGCTTGAGAGTGCAAAGATCTTTGAGACATAGTAATAAGATTTTAAGAGCGATTCGATTCCGCTATAACTGACGGAAAGTAAAGTTATAGCAAGAGTTTTTTTTCCAACGTTCGTCCGCTTCATTAATTTTGTATTAACCGTAATTAAATTTTTAATGTATTGACTACCGATTAATCCTTCTTCAAGAGTTGGCCCTCTATATGCGAATTTATGGATAAAGATACTTTTTTTTTTAATAAAGCAAGCTAAATCAGTATCGAACGTTATTGAAATTTCTTGTCGGGGATTTATTAATTAAGAGTAACGCTGTTGGCAAAATGGGAATTAAAATTGGCTTCTTCAGTGCTTTACGTTCCAATAGTTTTACGAAAACACTTAGAAATTTGTAACGTAATGACCATTTCGTGAAATTGAATTCGAGATGCGATTCGTCCCAAGGTGAGGGCGAAGCGAGAAACGAGTACGGTGACTTATGGCGCAAGTCCCGGTAGTGCTTGAGCAAGGCAGAGGGTAGTAGCCAATTTGTAGCGCGTTACGTACTTCTGTTACCTAGGGGAAAGTGCAATAGTGGTGCACGTGTAAATCGTGCATTGCTAGAGTGGCTTGACAAAACTTGCAAACTGTTTCGTTACCCGTAAGAGGAAGTTAACGCCATCCAAATAGAATTTAATGTAGATTCTTTTCAACTTCATGACGACAAACTCTGCGTTAATTCTAACCACGTAGCATTCGAAAACTATATGTTATTGTGTAATAATGACCAAGAGTATTTGCAGAAGTCGTAATTGTAATACGAAGGAAAATATAGGAAATTAGATGAAATAGGGATGGCGGGTTGACGTTCTCCAAAACGACTAAATGCGCTTTAAATCTAGCTTTACCTTAATAATCTATGTACATTCGTCGGGGATTTCTCGTGCTTCTACGTTCTCGTAGAATTTACGTTGCGCCTGAATGCAGTGTTTTAGGATCCAAAACGAGCGCAAGTCCGTTGCAGCAAGACGTTTACTTCACCTGTACCACAATTTATTATAGGTAGGAATTTAACGTAGAATCCTTGGCAAAAACGAAGGTCGGACATGAAATATATATTTTAATGTGAATTATATATTAAACATTATTATTTAAATCTTTGTAATATTGAACGTTTAACAAATCTTTTTAAGTTATATCGAAGAATAAGACATATTGTACATTTTACTATTTTATATTAAAAATTATAATATTTTTAGTGTAAATTATAATAATTTTATGTGTATATCTTCCTTTAAATAAGAGTACTTATTTTGATTAAAAAATATTTTGTACAGTCGCGATGCTAAGGCGCCTTTCTTCGTGAGCTCGAAGCTGGTTGCTGCTTATATTCGCCGCGCGTCAAGTCCCACGGCAACACGGTAAAGGTATAGGTACCCTCCTTCACTTCCGTTGCATCACACAGCGGACTGTGGTGTGCCTGATTGCACGACGGTCGCGCGGCGTGTTCCCTTGACACTCGCCCGCAGTACCTGCCAGCTCGATTGCAACCGTAACGTGGGATGCACCGGGACAACAGCGTTTCCCAGGCCGCGACACCGTTGCACTACGATGTACATTCCGCTGCACCAACCCCTTTCGCGTTATCCCCTTTGCTTATATCGATACCAATGTTGCGCGTCGTTCTCGGCGTCTGGAGAACCAGAATCCGACGTGCGATTTCTCGATGGTTAATGAGATTTGAACGCACGCGTCCATGCACTAAATTTCAAAATTTCTGTTTGAGGAATTCGTTCAAAATGTATCGCACGTTAAGGTTTGCTCGGTTTGCCGATTGGTATAGAGTACAGTAACTTAGCACGCGCAGTGGTGAAGTTATGCGGAAACGAGAAGAGTAGCGGAATAGCGTGCGGGGACGGGTTGCGAGTTCAGGAAGGAGGAAGTTACAACGAGAAGGGAGTTACTGCTCCAAATACAACGGGTGTCGCTATGGTTAGGACAGATTTTATTTTCTCCACCGAACTCGGTTTTCCTTCCTACAAACGGAATATGAATCTACTTTTTGTGAGAACTTCTGGTTGCACTTTCCTTCCACTAAATCCGTTATCCATTTCGGGAAAATGTAATATCACTGTCGATTCAGGTTCGAGAAGTGTCATCGTGACTCAAAGATATTTTTAACATCGCATTACGAACTCTACACTCATGATAATTGTAGCGCGCTTTCGCGATAATCGCTACAGATGCCCGCGGCGTTTACGTACGCAAATGCTCATAGCGGAATTTCTGCTGTCGCGCATTATGCATCGAACTGCGTCGAGGTCACGTCGACCAGCGGAACTTCCGACAGACAAGACGGACCGTTGGAAATGCATGGCAAACAATCCGGTAATGCGCAACGCTACGCGAAACGTAGACGCCTACGCGCTGCTCGTACAAATCACTCGAGCGGTTATTTCGGCAGTTACATCTCATCGTCAGTTACAGACCGTCTGAAATTTCTGCGGTTGGTTTTCGAACGTTCGCCTACGGCTACTGTCGAAGTATCCTTCAGGAACTTTATCTCTAGAGAATCGATTGTTGCTCACTAATTTAGACGCAACCCAGAAGGAGCTCACCTAATAGCAATGTTCTCTGTACGTTGATTGTATTTAAATTTGCAGAGTAGATTGCTTGACTTTAAATTTGTCTATCTATCATTTCGTATCAATTTTTTGCTGCTAGCATTCTCAACTACTAAAAAAAATGAAACATGTATTTCTTTCCAAAACTTTTTTATTTGCACTCAATATTTTTCTTTAATTGAATGTACCTAATACTTGTAGTTAATTGAAAAGAATTTTCCGAAGAGAGAGTCTCTCTCTCTCTCTCTCAGAACGGGAGCGCTGCCAAAGTCAATTCTCTTGGGTATTTTTATTAAATTTCATTGAAACTTGTTGGGGAACGTAATGAAGAAAAATCTTACTCCTACGGTTCTTTTCCACGTTTATAGTGGTATACCAGGTTTGTAGTACATATTTGTATGACCGAGTAGATTATGCCGTGCAGATTAATATTTTCATAAAAACGGAAGTTAGTTGAGTTCTTTGCACAGCGCGCACGACTGCCGTTTATGCGGAGCACGCACGCGCGTCCTCCGAGTACACTCGTTTTGAGCGAGATTCTATTTACAAATCCTTTGCCGTCCGCGGTCATAAATCGTTTCTACTTCTAAGGATCGCGCCCGGGATCGCGTGCCGCGTGTCCAATATTAAGTTGCCTATGTAGACGGCCCTATTAATATGGCGCACGAGGCGCATGGCGATCGTTTACAGAGTGCCGCCTAGTGCATGTCCTAAAGCTTAGAAAATCCCTCGGAGAAGAGAGGAAACTTCGGCTTTATATCCAAGGGCGCCGATAGTAAGCCGCTTTCCCTGCGAGTTATATACGAGCAAGAGATACTGCTTCAAGTTTCCAAGCGAACTAAGGATCTTCTAATGGATACCCCCGGGTTCTAACTATTAAATGAGCACGATGCACGCGGTCGGGTATCCCGGTAGCTTTCGCGAACGCGGAATGAGTAAATTTTTATATAAGGTACTTTTTAAGATAATTATAACACATTAATTTTGTCATCAAGTTTATTATACGGTCAGTGGCACAAAAGCGTTGTTAGTAGTTTTTTTCGAAAGAAACTTAGAGTATATTAAAAAAAAAATTATATTTTAAAACTTTGTTGTACTAAAATTATTAGTGTGATGTCCAATCACATAATTATTGATTATAGCTTGTTTTTATACTTTCCGAAACGTGCTTTTTACGAAATCTTCACAAATTATATAAAAATGATGTCACGGTAAGCCAGCTTTCTTAATCTCTGGATACAAATTCGAAATATGAAAATATCTAATCAATAATGAAGATGAAGAAAAACAAATATTTATTTTAAAACAGTTATCTTCGTACATTCGGAAGATTTGGAGGTTCTTATTTCAGACTCTAGTCGAAAATCTCGTGGAAAGCTCAACGACAGATATAATCAATAATAATAATGATTGAATATCATACTAATTGTAAGTAAATGTATTTTAACGCATAATAATGTACTTTTAAAATATAACTTTAATTTTTAATATACTAGATTCTTTCAGAGAACTGCTGATGGCGTGA